AATCAATTAAAGTTCTCCCAGTGGCCAAGAATGGTCTTCCCAAAATTACGGGAATTTCCTCACCAACCCAACAGTCAAGGATGACAAAATCTGTTGGGAACACAAACTTCCCAACCTGTACCAATACATCATCTAGAATCCCAGAGGGCCTCTTCACTTTCGATCAGCCAGCTGTAGTAACATAGACGTGGGTCTAGATCTTCCAATGCCTAGCCTTTTGTAGATAGCCAAGGGCATAAGGTTTATGCTTGCTCCCAGATCACACAGTGCCTTAGCAAATACAAAGTTGCCTATTGTGCAAGGGATTGTGAAACTCCCAGGGTCAGACAGCTTCTCAACTATGGGTCTCGTTACAACAACACTGCAGGTCTGAGTCAGTATAACCGTGGCCAAGTCTTGAAAGTTGAACTTGCGGGACATCAAGTCCTTCATCATCTTCGCATAACCAGGCATCTCCTTTAAGGCATCAATCAATGGAATTTTTACCTGAATTTGCTTCAACATCTCCAAGAATTTCTTGTACTGCTCATCTTTCTGATACTTGGCCAATCTCTATGGGAATGGTGCTGGAGGTCGCTTCTTCCCTGTGATCTGATTTTTTTCTTGTTCAGGCACTGCTTCCACTTCCGGCTCCGGTGCAACCTTCGTCTCTTTCACAACTTCTTCTTCTTTGTTGGTGTTCTCTTGCGCATGCTGTCCCGTCACCTAAGTTAACCCTACTAAATTATCTAGCTCAACGGGTACTGGCACCAGTGTCTCTGTCGGTCTGCTTTCACGAGCAATTTCTTGCTCCAGATCTAAGTCTCTACCATTTCGGAGACTCACTGCCATCAGCTACTTCGGGCCCTGCTCTTTTGGACTGATTAGGGTGTCTGCAGGTAACATCCCATGAGGACGATTATTTAAGGCCATGGAAATCTATCCTAATTGGATCTAAATATTCTTTATCGCTGACTCATGTGAGTCTAATCTGTCAGCTAGTTTTCCAGTGGACCCAATCACTTGTTGTATCATTCCCTCAAGTTTAGCAAACCCATCTTCATGTCTCACAATCTGTTGTTGTGGAGGTTGTTGATAAGCCTGCTGCTGATTTTGCTGGTTGTACCATTGTTGCCTTTGGTAAGGCACCATTTGCCCCTGTGGTCGCATAGCCCCATGGTTATTTTTGTTATTGTACTGCTGCTGAGCTGGTCTATATTGTTGATTCTACTGACCCCAATTCTGACCACCTGGTCTCGCTCCCCCGTAGTTGGCCACATAATTCATGTTCTCCTGATATTGTTGATTATCACCTTCAGCACTCCACGAGCAAACATATGGTTGATGATGTTTTATACGTCAATACCACACAAGAGGGGGGGTGATTTGTGTGGTACTCAATTTTGCGTTCTAGAAGAACCTGGTTCTTCTAGGTATACTAACTCTACTGTTTGCGGAATAATAAGTACATAAAATAAAGAACACAGAGATTTTTACGTGGAAAACACCTGGCTCAAAAGGTGAAAAAACCACGGCCTACTACTCAGTAGGATTTTCCTAAACTTCCACTAAAATCACTGAGCAAAAACAGCATTTACAAAACTCTTTGTAAACCTAAGGATTAACTCTAATCCCGTTGTAGCACACAGCCTCAACTGTTGCAACAACTTCAAGTTAGCATATAACTTGAACACTCTAAGTACCTAATACAATTGCTTCTATGAAAGCTGAAAGGTACAAGTTTAAATCACCTACTACAATTGAACTAGAAATAAAGAAAGACACAATGAAATTGGTTCTTCTATCTCGTTTAAGGAGCTTCAGGAATGCACACTCAAATCTCACATAAATTGCTTGCAAAATTGCCTCGCTCTTTTGCTCTCAATTTAGTGTTACTTCTGCGTTTGTGCAATACCTGTAAAAGAGAACAATCATTGTTATTTAATGAGTTAGTAATTAGAGTTTGATTAAGACTCAATTGCTGATCTTCCATCGAGGTTGAGTCCTTAAACAACACAAACTCCAACACTATCTTTTATCCGGATTGTGTTCTCTTCACATAAGGAGACTTTCTCCCCTTATCCAATATGCAACCTTTTCGATCAGATTCAGGAGATATTGCTGCTTGATCAATGAAACTATCTCCTTCACGTGCATCTCACATGCGTAGATTGATCATCACTGTGCTTCAGACGAGGCGGAAGTCCCGAGACACAGGGCGTAAGCACCATTGATCTTACTTCTAATTATCTTTTAAATTATTAAAAATATTAAAAAAAAAATTTAAATACAGAATATGTAAAAGATAATAGAAATTATTTTAAAAAAAATTACACACAGTATTGTAGGAATAATTATTACTATAAATAAACATTCTAACACAAATTTAGACAATACAAAATTACAAATGTATAAAGTTAGCCAATGTCGATGTTCATCCTCATATACGTCAACTTCCATATTTGTAATGAGTTTGTTCTTATCTTTTAATAATTTTATATATGACAATATCTTGCATTATGATTTTGTAAGGAGATGAAATAACCTGTCCAAGTTTAGAATAATACCAATTAAAAAACTAAAACTAAAAAGTAAAAATCTCTTTTCGGAATATAAATGAAAAAAACTGTTAAAACTAATTAAAAAATTAAACAAGGTTGAAACAAAAAGAACTTACTCTGTAACTTATACGTAATATTAACAGCTTGTTTGGATGGTTGTTACCCATTGTATCGTATTGTATTGTTTTTCCATAATAATGTTTGTTTTGATTGTTTAGTTAAAATTGGTTGTATTGTATTGTTAAATCCATTGTTCCGAAACCATAAAAAATCCCATTTTTTTAAACAACCGATTTGGTGTGGTGGGATTATTTCCTATTTTTCTTTCTAATTATTCCCTAAGTTATTACTTTATAATTCTATTTTACCTTTTACTTTTTTTATTTTCAATAATAGCAAAGCCATATAATTCTATAATAGAATTCTAGTGAAGTCTGATAACCTATATAAATTCTTAAAGACAGTATCCCAAATATAACCTATATACGTAAAAGTCTAATAACCTATATACGTGAAAATTCCAACTCTTTTGATATATGTTTTCCCTTACTTTTGTTTCATTCTTTCTTCTACTTTGACTTGTAATTCCAATTCTAATTACTTTATCTCCAATTAACTTTGTGATATTGGTTGTTTTCAAGTGTGCAAAGTATTATTATTTATCTTTATTCTGCCAACTCTTTCATTCGTTTCTTTATCATCGTTGTTAAATTTTTATCCTTAAGTTATGGATTATATGTCATGTTTGTTAGGAAATATTACTTATGATCTAAATTTTGCATGGAGTCTACTTAACATTTTTTTTATTATTATGATCTAATTATGAATATAGTGTACTTTAATTATTTTTAATATTGTTAACTTGTTCCACTTATTTCGATAGAATCTGTATGAATTTAATTGCTTTATATAGAAGACATAATTGGTGATAAATATAGAAAGGGGTTTCTTAAATAATTTTATGCGTAATTTTTGATAAATTAAATATTTAAAACAATTGAGGGTATTTTAGTAAACTTATCAGTTACAGTATAGTACGATACGGTCAAACCAAACAGCAAAATGTTATATCCAAACAGCATACAATACAATCTATCCAAATATTGTATTCACAAAACGATACGATACAATACGATACAGTACAATACGATACATTATAAAACGGTGGGTAACAATGATCCAAACAAATGGTAAGTGGGGTGTTGGATTTTGAGTAAAAGATGTTTTAGATAAGAGATAAAATGACAAAAAGATCCTTTATGACTTATGAGTAAGCATTTTTAAAATTAAATAATTCAAATTGATGAGTAGTCGACTGAAAATTAAAAATAAAAAAAACATAAATACAGTTTGCAGTAGTAGAATATTTTAGAACAATTAACTGGATTAGCAGCCCANAAAAAATAATTAAAATAGACAGGTAATGTTGCAAAAGAAATAAAAAACTTTCATTAATTAAATAAATTACATGTAGTCATAGAGACGGTTCTCCCACTCTGCTTCAAATTTAAGGACATAAACCCAAAAAGATTCACTTGGCCACACCTCGTGATAAATGTCAGTTAAAATACTACCTAAAAGTTGTCCAAGTGAATCTACTAAAATTGATAATGCTTCCCAATCATATAGTATAATTTTGTCTATAGCATCTATAAGTGCATCTCTCATATAGTATGATATAATCATATAACAATTTCGAGGAGCAAAACAAATCTATGTATAATGAAATAACAATTCCGAAAACCAAACCGAATTAGCAAGGTAACAACATAGTTAAAATACCTTTTCATCTTGTAGAACCAATTCAATCGAGAATATAGTGCCTGGATTAAAATGATTCGGTACTTCCCACAAACGGACAACACGAACTTTTAACTTCCATTGCATCTTCGAAATTGTTATATCCTTGATGAAATCAATGTGAGTAGCCATCTTTTGCATAGGACGTAAGTTTTCTTGAAATCTTTATAGAAGAAGGAACATTAGGATTGAAGATCGTGTAGTTGTGGAAGAAATATATATTTTCACTTTTGAACAGTTGCTACCCAATATACAAAATCGTGGATTACACAGTTGAAGCAATCAAAATCGTGGGAAAGTCAGTTGAAGGGTTTTGAAGGCTATTCCTATATTTGAGTAAGCCGTTAAATTTTAAGAAATAAAATAATTTAATCATTTAAAAAAATTAAAAAATCAAAAAATTAAAGAGAAGTTGGGAACGGCAGTTTAAAAGTCACGGTTAGGAAGGATTTTGAACGATTTTGATTTTTAATAAAAAAAAATTCTATTCTTTCTAATAAAAATAAAATTATAATTCCTTTTTCTACTTCCTAAAAATTTGGAACAATGTCTTAATGTTCCACGTGTCTTTTTCTGATTTTGACATTTGGTTTCGTGAGGGCTTTTGTCTGGTGCTTTTAATTATAGATACATTCAACGAAGAAGAGAAAAGGTATTGTTCAAGAATTATCGACTATCTTCTTCACTACTCTCCCCTGCCATTTTAACTAAAATTGACCGTAATGGCTTTGAGAATTAATTTTCTATTCTAAATTGTGCTCCAAACCTAGATCCAAGTTTCTGAAATCGAGACAGAAGACTCATTTATCTGCTATCCGCTGTCCATGCCCGCTCCACTCCACTCCATGAGAATAAATGGAAGCAAGTTATATATTTGTTAAACAGCAACAGCAGCCTCCATGTTTTGAAATTCTTATATTTGAATGTTTATGGTGAAGAAATAGATCCCTGTTGCCGTATTCTTCTTTAGATTTCTCGGCAGATTTGCTTGAACTCCTGGGCGTACGTCTCTCTCTAAGGCGCTAGGCGCGGCTTGGCGAACGCCTAGTCATTTGAGAGGTACGCCCTGCGCTTTCCATTTCCACCTCGAGGTGATTTTTGACCGCCCCGCCCTGATGCGCGCCCTATGACTCGCCCCAATATCTCCTGCTTTATATTTTTGGGGCCTTAAATATTTGGGGGCCTAAGGCAAGAGTCCTAGAGCCGCCCTTGCAAAGAACTTGGTGAGGAAATGATGCAAAATAGAGCTTCTTCTGGAGCTTGTCCAGAAGACGTGAAGAAAATCTCTTCTTCTGAGAGAGAATCTGTTTTGGATACTGAACCTGAAAGTGGAATTTCAAATAACAAGAGGACTGTATTCAGTGGAGGGGGAGAGGGCATTGAAGATCTTTCAGTTGCAAATTCAAGGAGATCCATCATAGATATGGATAATGAAGATGCTATATGTAAGCGCACTAGAGCGAGGTACTCACTTGCTAGCCATACACTTGATGAACTTGAGACATTTCTTCAAGAAACAGATGATGAGAATGATCTTCACAATGCCGACGATGAAGCGTACAGGAAGTTTCTTGCAGCTGTTTCACTGATTGGAGATGGAAATTCTGGAAACGTACAAGAGAATGAAAATTTTGATGATGAAGATGAAGACAACGATGCAGATTTTGAGCTTGAAATTGAGGAGGCATTGGAGAGTGACATTGATGAACACGTGAAGGCTGATGTTGAAGAGGAGTACGAGGCTGTTAGTCGAAGACCTAAGACTAGGCAAACTAGGCGCCAAAGAGCTTCTCTTGAGAACAAGAAGAAGGTTTTAGGGCTGTCAAATAGGCCACTACGCCCTTTGTTACCATATCTGCCCATTTCTCCTTACTCTGGACATGGTACAAAAAGCATGACGATGCCAAGATGTTCTCTAGCTTCACTCAGTCTGTCGCCTGCAAATGATGGCTTTATGAATGGATTTACAGCCCATCAGATAGGACAATTACATTGTTTGATACATGAGCATGTTCAACTTCTTATTCAGGTATTTGCGGTTTGTGTTCTTGAGCCGGCCAGACGGCACATTGCTTCTGATGTTCGGGAATTGATATCACAAATGCTTCATAAACGTGATGAAGTACTAGCAAGTAGGAGTGTGCCATATCCCAGTTTTTGCTTCTTCTTCCCATATGTTCATCCCTCAGTGTCTGATGAACCTTCGAAGACTTCGCCTGCCCAAATCACCAACAAAATATCTTCAGCACATGTTTTGCAGGGAGACTGCTCATCTGGACTTAACATAGGCTCCTGGGTACCTTATATTAGTGGTCCAATACTATCTGTTCTTGATGTGGCTCCGATCAAATTAGTCAAGGACTTCATGGATGACGTTTCTCATGGTATATCATGTTAGAACACTAAATTTCACTTACTTTTCTTATGGTTGCTCAGTTTATGATACTTTATTTACTTCATCACGGGTGATATTTATTGACAGCTATGCAAGATTACCAACATCGGCAAGTAGGAGGTATGGATGATATCTGCTCCGAGAAGGAACCCTTGTTTCCTGTGCAAAATATTCATTCTACTGCTGAACCTGATGGTCAGGCTTCCTTGTATTCAAACGGCGTGCCTCCTCCTTCATCAAGTTTTCGAACATCAAAGAAGACTATGGCTGCTGTATTAGTAGAAAAAGCTAAAAAACAGGCAGCTGCTCCTGTTCCAAAGGAGATTGCTAAGTTAGCCCAGCGCTTCTTTCCTTTGTTTAATCCTGCCCTGTATCCCCATAAGCCACCCCCTGCAGCGGTAGCAAACCGGGTGCTTTTTACTGATGCAGAGGATGAGTGAGTTTTATGTCTTCTTTTACCTTTCTTGCAGTATCAGTATCAGGGTTCTTATGAAATGAGTCGCTTTACTGATTAGGTCGTGATTGTAAAATTGAGGCAACATTGACCTTGCTTCTGGGCATTTGATGCCTTCTCGCTTTTATTAGTTGGTATTCTCATCTTCTCCACAGTCCTATGGTGATAGGTTGTGAACTAAAACCTTGCTATAGGAAGAACAGAGAAAGTAGTGAATTAAGTTAGGGTTTAGAGTTGCAAAGTTGGAATTCACATATGGATTCTGAAATTTCCCCTAAATAAACGATCTCTTTTAGTACAATTTATTTCTCAGCATGATACAAAATTGGGTGTTATCATAAAGTGAAAAGAATTTATTTACGTCTATTGTACGAAAACAATTGAATGAAGCTAATTACCTATATCTGTGAGAGCCTAAGCAGTTTTAGTCATTGTGATTTGGTTAAATACCATGTATCTCTCATCCTCCACTTCCTTAGGCAATTTCATCAATTCCCTACTAGGTTCTTAAGGTTTTAATATCATGGATGATCTTCATTTTTACCCATATTCGCTTTTACCATTACTAATAAGTTTTGTAATATTACCTTGGCATCTGATGCAGATTATTAGCATTGGGTTTGATGGAGTATAATACAGACTGGAGGGCAATTCAGCAGCACTATCTTCCTTGCAAATCTAAGCATCAGGTGATTCTTATGTGCACTTCCAGTTGCAGCAACAGTGTTGTCAGTCATTTATCCTCTCGATTTCATTGTCTTCTTAATGTTTAGTTGTGCTTAACGCGAAGAAGTGCTTGACCCTTTTTGCAGATTTTTGTCAGGCAGAAGAATCGCTCATCATCTAAAGCACCTGAAAATCCAATAAAGGTTTGTTACTGGTGTGCATAAAACATTTATAAACAATCATACTGTTAACGCTATGGCCCCATTTGAACTGCCTCTTCCGAAAAGTGCCTGCAAACCCACTTTAGCAATCTATTCATTCTATCAGTTGGGACATGCTGAATGTTTAAGCCATCTCCTACCACTCCTTCAACTGTTCAAAGATTTTTTTTAACTCGAAAATGACTTTCTCGATTCACCTAATAAAAGTACAACCCACAATCGCAATTCATCCATGAATCATGACCTTTTTTGCAGTATTTTCCAAAATATCTGGTCCTTAATTTGTTTGGGGTGATGGGTGATGCTGAGCATAGTGAAGGAGGCATTGCATAGTTGGTCTCACATGAGGGGGAAGAGAAGTCCAAAGGCTTGGGAGGGTTGCCCCCGTAGCAATCATGTGGGTTATTTGGAAAGAGAGAAATAAGAGGCTTTTGAAGGGCGGAACTTGAGTTTGTAAAATTGCAAAGTTGCCTTTTGTTTCTAGTTTCTTTTTGGTGCACTCATAGGTCCCCACTTGTATAGAGCACTGGGCCTATGTTGTTGAGAACCATATATTTGTGTAGGTTCTTTCTTTTTGGCATACGACTTGTATACGGGGTTTCCCCCAATTGTTAATAAAATTATTTACCTTATCAAATAAAATTATTGTAATGAATATATATGTTGTTAATAAAATTATTATTAATAAAATATATATGTTGCTAGAGATGCCATTTATTTTGTTTTGAGTGTCACAGTGTGTTTTATGATTGTTGTGGTCATTGATTGTGGTAAATAATGTGGTAATGAATCTTGTAGGCGGTTCGGAGGATAAAAAACTCTCCCTTGACGGCAGAAGAGGTTGCACGTATTGAAGAGGTAAGTTTACACTGCAACTTAAATTTCCATAGCACCACCATCTCTATTTGTCGCTGCTTCACTATTTACATAGTCATGATCACGCAGGGTCTGAAGGTGTTCAAGCTTGACTGGATGTCAGTGTGGAAGTTTATTGTTCCTTATCGAGATCCTTCCTTGTTACCCCGGCAGTGGCGCATTGCTATTGGAACTCAGAAATCATATAAATCCGATGCTAGTAAGAAGGCAAAACGCCGGTTATATGAAGAGAGAAGAAAATCAAAAGCGGCTGCTTTGGAAAATCGGCATGTTTCTTCCGAAAAGGAGGTAAGGCTGTGTCTTTCAGTCAAACTTATTCGGCATCCATTTTCCATGTTAGAAAGGTGTACTTCGTCAAAGAAGTACCTAACTCGCCCATGCAGTATGTTCTTTCTCTTATTGCCATATTAGTAAACGTCATCTTGCCAATTGCTAGTTAGTACCACAAAATTGGAGCATGGAACTAGTAAAAATAGGAAAGTAGGTTTGTTTTGAAATATAGTCATGATGCCAAATCTGTTAAGAATCTTAGTTCTGTTTAGAAATTATAAGTTGGATTGATATTTATTACCTGAATCTTGGTTAATTACTGTTTGCTGAAGTTCTTAATAAGATGGATTTTTCTTGCTCTAGCATGAACTATTTTATACACGGTTCCATCTTATATAGTATTAAACCTGATCATATAATGTGATTAAGTGCACCAAATCTTTGTTTTACAATCCCTAGTTGAGCCTAATCTCAACTTTCCCTGAAAGGGATTTAGTTTACCATTTGGAAATCTGGATTTGCTCTTTAGTAAGCTACGATTATCAAGTAGATTAGGCTTGCTTGCAGTTACTATAGATTAGGCCAGTTGCTGCAGCTGGCTTAGACTTGCATTGGATGTGATTATTGGTTGCTCGGCTGGATTAGTCATGTTGAAATTCATCATTCTCGTGGCTATGGGCTGGGAACCGGAAGAATTAGATTGGACTAAGAGTGGTCTAACTTATCTAATACTATGTAGAAATAATCAAATATGTTATTACTAAGATATTGTTTAATGCTTGTTTGACTAAAGCTAGGATTGTATTGTATCCTACTTGAAAATCTTTTTGCAAAAGAGATTACACAAGAGAAAAGCAAATTTCTATCAGAAAGGATGAAGGTATCCTCTAACCGAAATCTTTACGTTGAACTGGCGGAGGAGGAGAGAACATGATGGATTTGGGGTGTGGGCCAAGCAACATGGAGCTGAGGATGCAATTGTGTGGACAGTGGCTGACGGGAGGAGAAAGAAAAATAATAAGTGGGTTCTGCCGGTGGTTGAATGAGGAGGAAGAAAACTAAATTACGATTCTCAGAAAAATTGAAGAGAAAGTTATCAAAGTCTTCTATTGTATTATGGTTCAATTACAGTTTTCCCAGCAAAGCCACTTACATGTGGCCTAACTATGTTCTATTAGTGCTGATTTGTTGGATTTTAAAACATGTTCCCAATCAAATGTTAAAGTTGAACGTAGTCAAATAGAGATGGAAAAATGGATATATAATAAATAGAGTTTGTACATAAAGGATTCTATATAGGTCTGGGGTAATCAGTAATAAATGGGAGGGATTTCATGCTTCTATCTAGAAGCCGTTTTGCGTTATATTTTAATATGATGTAACCATTTATCTCCTAATCGTCATGCATCATCATGTATGAATATTCGGTAGCACCAGGCTGAGTGTGCAAGGTTGATCATGTCCTACATAGACTTCAAACTAAATCATGGCGATTGAATCTCCTAAAAATGGACAAGGTAGACTTGTAATCACATGAAGGGAAGTCTCAAAAGACATAATCTCTCGAGACCAATGTGAATTAGCTAAGAACAGACACAATGGATGTAAAAAATTAAATTTCGGCATCAACTTTTGTGATTAAAGCTCAGTTGTTAGTTTTACACTTGCATTAGATCCGATGTTTGCCAGGAATAGTATTCTTTTTAGCTTAAATGGAAACTTGCATGTCAATGTAGGGATGATGGTGAAATTTGGAAACCTCTTGTTGTAAAGACCATTAGTTTACATTAAAAACAAAGTATTTTCCAGTTTTGGAATGGAATGGGTTAGAATAGATTGGAGTGGATACTGAGGATTCATATAGCCCAGTACTAGTTTTTGATTGAGGCGCAGCTGACTGTTGATTGATTTATAGATCGCTTAAACATTATGCCTCCTCTAAGTTGAACCCGTAGAAGTGTGTGACCATCTCATTTAAAGCCTAATTTGTTAGGGAGGTCACACTTTTATTTACTTAATTATATTATGTCTTTAACATGCCTCCTCACATGCAGGCCAACTGAAAATTCTTTCCTTTCATAGCCCAAGTGGAAATTTGTTTTGATAAAGGGTAGCTGTGAGATTCGAAGTCTGATAATATTGAAGTGTGTGACCATCTCATCTAAAAGTTTAAGATATTAGAGAGAGTACACCTTATTTATAGAAAAACATAAAGAGAGAGCACATTTTTATTTACTTAATTATATTATGTCATCAACATGATCTGGTCTGTTAGTGATTTTGTTGTACTTCACAAAATATTCTAGCTAAGGTGAGAATGCATGTACATTGCAAGGCTGCACATATAGCTGCTTTATATGTTGGTGTTGAAGAGTTGTCTATCATGTTGTAGACTTTTTTTTTTGGTTAAGTCCACGTTCAGCATATTGGAATGCAAACAAGAGCAAAGAGTGGACCTAAGTCTTGCTAACTAGATATCATTCATATCCATTTACATGGTTATGCATATGGACCATGTCACAACAACTCCCCCCCTAAGGTTAGAGATTCTTTAAATTTTAAATTTTTATTTTTGATGACGGTTGTGTTCAGGCCGATTGGCGCACACCTTGATTATTGCATCGATTACCTCCATTCTCCCACCAATTATCGGGTACTCTGTCCACCAGATTTAGGCATTGGAAAAATTTCACCTAGCTTTTTTTTGTCTCTGCTGAGATTTGGACCCTGGTTTCGCATATTCGTCATTCCAACTTCATTGACCACTAGACCACATTCTTAGATGCAAGGTTAGAGCCTCTTCATATATGAGGGAAAAGGAGAAGTCGGGATGTAGGGGCCTTTGCTATTTTGGCATGAAGCAAAGGAGGTTGGGCCTACGAAAAGGTACTACACTCCTTGATTTGGTGGAACAGTTAATTTGGAAGTAGAAAAGAGGTGTTCAGACATCTAATCATCAAAGTTGGAGGGAAGACCGGGAAGTATAAGTCCTGCAAACACTTGAAAAGTTGGCAGGCCCCGAAAAATGGCAATTATTTTCCTCTATCCAATTACCTTCATTCTATTGTCAAACCAAAAAAAGGAGATGAAATTTGCCGTTTTCCCTTTTTTCCTGTTCAAAGCCTAGGAATCCTTCTCTTTTCGAGTTGGCTAATGAGCTCTTTCATATCTGCTCGTTTAAGGTGGAAATGTATGGGAGGTCAAAGGGAGGAATTCATAAGATACACACATTTTTAGGTCAGTTACAGTAGAAAACAAGAATCTGGCCAGAAATTTAGTAATTTAACACATCACTTAAGACCGGAATATCCAGATCTTTTTAGTTTTATATGTTGTCGTGAGTCAACGATTGCTCAAAACATGAACGGTAGAGTATAGGACACTAAATTTTGAATAAATTGCCAAGTCAGGGTTCAGATTTATGCCGGGACAGTCAAGGTGAGACGATTGGTGGAGCAGTATAGGGAGAGAAAACATGACTTGCACATGGTGTTCAAGTCAACGATTGCTCAAAACATGAATAGTAGAGTATAGGACATTAAATTTTGAAGAAATTGCCAGGATCAGGGTTCAGATTTATGCCGGGATAGTCAACTACAGAAGCCATTCACCTGGTGAGACGATTGGTGGAGCAGTATAGAGTGAGGAAAAGTGACTTGCACATGGTGTTCATTTACCTTGAGAAGGCTTATGACAAAGCCCCGAGGGAGGTGCTATGGAGATGTTTGGAGGTTAGCAGAGTCCCGGTAGCGTACATTAGGGTGATTAAGGACATGTACGAAGGTGCTAAGACTAGTGTGAGGGCTGTGGGAGGAGACTCAGAACATTTTTCTATGGCAGTGTTTTTAAGAGCGAGAAGCGCAAAAAAGCGACAAGGGCTCGCCTTGCTTCAAAAGCGAAGCGCAAAGCGAAGCGCACGCTTTATTAAAGTGAAGCGAAATTCTTAAAAAACATAAATGTAAAATTATAAATAATCAAAAACTTCAATTTAAAAACTTAAATAGCAATCTATAGGTCCTTTAGTCCTACTCGTACCCGTCGATGATCCATGGCTTGAAGAGATTACATCTCTTCCCCGTTTCTTTGGAAGTGACAATTCTTAAATATCATCTTCATCAAGATTGGTCACCAATGGTTGATGACTCATTTGATTTTTTTGCTCCTTCTTCTTTTCAACAAATTTTTTTATTTCATCCCTCACCTCCGGTGGGCATTTCGGACAACTTGTGACGTTTCTATTGCCACCAATAAGATGGAATTTAAAGCGATAAATTCCACCCATTGTAATCTTGTTACAAAACTTGCATGCAACATTTGTATTCTTCTCATTAACTCTATCGCCATATCGCCAAGCCTGGTCTTTCTCTTTCGAACTTTGAAACATTTTGAAATCCCTATTAAGATATAAGAAAATACATAATCAAATAAATTGAAAATACATATAATATATATAATAATTAATTTTATAAACTGAAATACACATTAAAAAACCATATATATATATACATACACACACACACACACACACACACACACACACACACACACACATATATATATATATATATATATATAATAATGAATTTTCTAAAATACGTATAAAATTAATCAAATAAACTAAAAATATAACATATATATAATAATTAATTTTATATATTGAAATATATGCTAAAATGAGAAGGAAAAAGAAAGAAAAAATAGGAGAATATGTTCTGGACCGGAGAAAGAAAGAAAGAAGAAGAAAAAGAAGAAAGAGAAAAGAAAATACTGAGAAGAACTGAAGAAGAAAGGAGAAGAAGAAATTACCTGGACTGGAGAATGGTCGAGCCGCGAGCGAGAAGGGAGAAGGGGTCAAGCTCGAGCGAGAGAGAAGGGGTCAGCAATGGCGAGAACCCTAGTTTTGTCGATGTCTCTGACTCTGTTTTGTTGAAGGGGTCTGTTTTGTCGATTTAGGGGTCTGTTTTGTATAATTAAAAAATAGACCCAAAGTTTTTTTTAAAAAAAAGGGCCCTCTGCGCTTTTTCAACAGAAGCGATCTCTTCATCGCTTTCCTCGCTTCGTCCATTGAAGCGTGCGCTTCCCTCGGTCGAGTCGCCTCAGTCAGCTAGAAGCGACAGTGGGTTGCTTCGCGCATTGTTTTTCTAAACACTGTTCTATGGAGATGGGGTTGTATCAGGGATCGACCCTTGGTCCGTTTTGTTTGCCCTAGCGTTGGATGTGCTGACACGACACATACAAGGGAGGGTGCCATGGTGTATGTTATTTGCTGATGACATAGTACTGATTGACGAGATGCGAGGGGGTGTTAATGCTAGGTTGGAAGTTTGGAGATAGACGCTGGAGTCCAAAGGTTTCAAGTTGAGTAGGTCGAAAACTGAATACTTGGAGTGCAACGTGATGAGAGGCATGAAGAAGATGTGGAAGTGGAGATTGATACTCAAGTCATTCCCAAAAGAGAGAGTTTCAAGTATCTTGGGTCTATAATCCAAGACAACAGGGAGATTGACGAGGATGTAACTCACTGCATTGGAGCGGGGTGGATGAGATAGAGGCTAGCTTCAAGGGTTTATGCGATAAGAATGTGCCGCCTAGACTTAAGGGCAAATTCTACAGGGGTGGTAGTTACACCGGCTATGTTGTATGGCGCTGAGTGTTGGCCCGTCAAGAAGTCCCATGTCCAAAAGATGAAAGTAGTTGAAATTAGGATGTTGAGATGGATGTGTGGACATACCACGAAAGACAAGATTAGGAATGAAGTTATTAGGGACAAGGTGAGACTGGCATCTGTGGAAGACAAGTTGCGGGAATCGAGGCTGCGATGGTTTGGGCATGTGAAGAGGAGAGACATAGATGCCCTGGAAGGAGGTGTGAGAGGTTGACCATGACGGGCTTGAGGAAGGGCAGGGGTAGGCCAAAGAAGTATTGGGGAGAGGTGATGAGGCAGGACATGTCATTGCTTCACCTATATGAGGACATGACTAGGGATAGGAAGGTGTGGAGGTCGAGAATTAAGGTGGTGGGTTGACAGGTAGTTGTGAGTTTCTCCTAGGTTTACCAGTAGGACTAGTACTATTCTTGTATTCTTTTATTCTTAGTTCTTTATTACTTGTTATGTCACTCGCTTCCATTACTTATTGTATTACTGCTGTTATTGCTTGTTGCTTTATTTTTACCGTTCCTTGAGCCGAGGGTCCATCGAAAACAGCCTCTCTGCCTTTATAGGGTAGGGTTAAGGCTGCGTACATACTACCTTCCCCGGACCCACGTATGAGATTAAGTTGGGTTTGTTGTTGTTGTTGTTGTTGTTGCCAGGATCAGTAGGCTCTCGCTATATAGTTTAACTAGGCTAACTCTAGATTGAAGATAAAGGAACAGTTTCTAGGGGGAAATATTCTCTGTGATCGAAATTTGACAGTAAACATCTGTTCTCTGTGTAAGGTACTTATGACGCCCTATCCAGTTATGCAGACAGTAGAAGCCATTGACGATGGAAACTGTCGCAAAACTAGAGGTCTTCCCGAAGTTTCATGTTTTGGTTGGATAGTTTATGAGGCATGTCTAACTTAGGACAATTTAAGCAGAAGAGGCTAATAAAAAAAGGAGAAGAGGCTTTATACTATATGCGGCAACTGTTACATGTGTTAGGCGGAGACTCAAATATAAATCATTTGTTTTTATATTGTGCTGTGGCTAATAATTGTTGGTGCAGTGTTTGGAACATGAGACCTCTTTTGATCTATGGGTTACCTGGTGGGAGCAGACCACAAACAGTAGAAGCCATTGGCGATGGAAACTGTCGCAAAACTAGAGGTCTTCCCGAGGTTTCATGTTTTGGTTGGATAGTAGTTTATGAGGCATGTCTAACTTAGGACAATTTAAGCAGAAGAGGCTAATAAAAAAAGAAGGCGAAGAGGCTTTATACTATATGCGGCAACTGTTACATGTGTTAGGAGGAGACTCAAATATAAATCATTTGTTTTTATGTTGTGCTGTGGCTAATAATTGTTAGTGCAGTGTTTGGAACATGAGACCTCTTTTGATCTATGGGTTACCTGGTGGGAGACCACAAACATTTGAATGAAAACAGAAATTAGTACAATTTGAAATTTCTTGTTTACATCTGTTGGATATCTGACCTAATTTTATTTCTACAGATGACATAGATGTTTTATGTGAGATTTAGAGGATCTCTAGTTTTAGAAAACTTCTAATTTTCTTAAAAGTCAAATTATTCATTAGTATTAAAATAAAATGTCCCGAATAAAGCGGAATGGATAATACAACCCCAACTAGCTTGTGATTGAGACATAGTTGATTCATCGAATGATGAACGGATTTTTGTTGGCTCCCTACACTTTTGAGAAGGGTCTTTAACTTTAATGTTCCTTTTCTACATTCATCCACTGGATGCAGTTGTATATAAACTATAATGCCCTTGCTCGTGAAAAAAATTGCAGGATAATGTTGCTGACTATGCTGTAACAGAAAATAGTGGTGCAGATAATTGTACAGAAAGAGATGAGGAAGCTTATGTTCATGAGGCCTTTTTGGCAGATTGGAGGCCTGCTGTATCCAGCATCCAAGTGAATCATTCTATTTCAGACCTAGCAGAGAAAATTCCTCCTGCTCAGCTATTGGGAGATGAGAGTTCTCCAGTTGCTGAAGAGATGAATAGCAGTCGATCTGGAAGTGGGCAATCGCATATCTCTAACGAGTTCCCTGTTTCTCTGAAGTACACATTGCATCTTACTCTTTTCATCTCCTTTGTTTTTGTGTTTGTTTTCTCAAGATGGCAGACTTTCTGCATTATGATGACTCACTATGCTTCTCATCTGACTTGAAGGGCCTCAAAAACCGAGTCCTTTTCGCGGCCATACCGAGCCCGTAAATGTAACAATGGACAATTAGTCAAATTAGCTCCGGGCCTGCCTCCTGTTAATCTTCCACCATCTGTTCGAGTTATATCTCAGTCGGCTTTTAAAAGCTATCATGGTGGAACGTATCCAAGGACTTTTGGTGGGGATGCTTGTACGGGTGATACAGACAACACAGTCCCAAAAATTGCAAGTGCTGCTAAGAATTATTATGTGAAAGATGGACCGTTTAGCATTAGTGCTGGGGGGAACACTATAAGTAATCAGAATCTACAGGAAAGCAGTGTGTCAAAGGATAATAAGAATGTTACTGAAGGAAAAGATGAGTCAGATCTACAGATACATCCTTTGCTCTTCCGGGCCCCTGAAGATGGCCCTTTGCCATATTATCAGTCTAACTCTAGTTTTAGTACATCCAGTTCGTTCAGTTTCTTTTCGGGTTGTCAACCTCAACTAAATCTTAGCCTCTTTCATCATTATTCACGCCAATTAGCCCATAATGTTAACTTTCTTGACAAGTCTTCTAAGCTCAGGGATAAAACTTCAATATCATCTGGTTTTGACTTTCATCCACTTCTGCAAAGAACTGATGATGCAAATTGTGACTTGGAAGCTGCATCCTTTGCTGCACCAACCTTATGTATCTCAGAGTCATCAAAAGGAAGGTGCACTCAAGTTCAGAATGCTGTCGATAGTAGTTCAAATGTTGCTTGTTCTATACCCTCTAGCCCTGTGGGAAAAAGCAATGAGGTTGACTTGGAGATGCACTTGAGTTTCACGTCAAGAAAGCAGAAAGCCATGGGAAGCAGAGGAGTGGCTGACCATTATATGGGAAGATCACCTACTAGTGCTTCAGATTCTGGAGATGAAAATCATCAAATCAATAGAACTCCAAATAGAACCACGCAAACCCATGATTCAGCTGCTACCGCAATGATTTTATCCAGCGACCAAGAAAATGGAAATGACCTTGATTATATGGCAGACCAGTCCCTTGCAGAAATTGTGATGGAGCAGGAAGAGTTAAGTGACTCAGAGGAAGAAATAGGAGAAGATGTAGAGTTTGAGTGCGAAGAGATGGAGGACTCAGAAGGAGAGGAGATATTTGAATCCGAAGAGATAATTATTGATAAAAATGAGGTATCTCTTAAACATAACTCTCTTAAACTGCTTAGGGGATTTCTAGGACTCAGAAGGAGAGGAGACATTTGCACCTTTCTTCTCTTTATGGTACAAGCCCAGAATGGTGAAATTCGTATGGTGCTTTTGCAAACTCCTGGAATATGCTACAGCTGAAATTCTTGCTTCTTTTCCTAGGTGAAACTGAACTTGGAATTGTCTCGCAATGCTGCTTGACAAAACATGTATTTAAGATGACTAAGCAGTATTTAGCCAATGTATCCCTGAAGATAAATGTGAAGGTTGGAGGAAGAAATACTGTGCTGGTTGATGTGCTCTCTAGACGAATTTCCCTTGTCAGCGACCGCCCAACTATCATTTTTGGTGCAGATGTCACCCATCCCCACCCTGGGGAGGATTCTAGCCCGTCAATTGCTGTGGTAATTGCTGTAGACTTCATTCTTTTGGTTTCATTAATCCACTCCCTTCATCTATATATCTGAAGCAAAGAAGTGCTAACTTTTCATATCTTTCAGGTGGTTGCTTCTCAAGATTGGCCTGAGATTACAAAGTATGCTGGTTTGGTTTCTGCTCAAGCGCATAGGCAAGAGCTTATACAAGATCTGTACAAGACTTGGCAAGATCCAGTTAGAGGACCTGTGACTGGTGGCATGATAAAGTATTCCGCCTTTTTCTTTCCTCATTTTCAAAGAACATGTCTTGATTTTCAAGGTTCAAGCTAATGGACTTAAATTTGCTTCTGACTGATGGTCTATCTCATTTATAAGTCAGGGAATTGCTTATTTCTTTCCGTCGAGCAACTGCACAGAAGCCTCAGAGAATTATATTGTACAGGTATTGTTGAATAACGCTTCTATACCTGCATTATAGAAATTTCTGTTCCTTTTTTGTCTGAAATGAATTATCCTTTTCCCTTAAGAGATGGTGTTAGTGAAGGACAGTTTTATCAAGTTCTTCTTTTTGAACTTGATGCAATCTGCGAGGTAATTTCCCGTCTGTTATACTGTACTCTGCCTGTGTATTATAAACTCTGGATTTCTCTCTATTTTTTTGGACCATGAAGATGGGTAGAAAACAAGCTTGCCCTTTTTATTTGTTAGAAGGTATGAACTGACTTGAACCCAATTCAGGCATGTGCATCTTTAGAACCCAACTATCAGCCCCCAGTTACATAGCCAGGGTACTCCGGTACCCCACGGGAGAGCATGTACTACGTCAGGAGGTGAAGCTGGATAAGCTGATAGAATGCCCGGGCCTTGCAAATCTGAGCATGGTGCGAGAGATGTATGCCAATTGGAACGCGGACCTGTTCTGGTCATGGGTCCAAGGAAAGGAGATACCACTGGATAGGCGATCCTTGTTTGAATTTTTGGGAGTTGATAGCCCTAATCCACGGAGGCTACAAAAGTTCGTCAAAAGCCTACGCTATCGGACAATATGTCACACTCTTTGTTGCGTTGATTCTAATGTGAAATGGATACGGACCAAGGGAGATGCTTCGTTTCGACTTCAACAAGACGGCCAAGGTATGGCAAAACTTCGTGCATGCTAGATTGATGCCCGTTGAGCATAACAGTGAATGCACTCGAGCTCGAGTGTGTGTGATATTCATTCTGAGCAACCCATAAACGTGGGTGAGATCATGCTAGGGGAGATGGACCGCACCCGCTTTGGCCAATGGATTAGAAGGTTCTTCTTTGGAAACCTCCTGACGCGGTACATGCTCTCCCGTGGGCTACCGGAGTACCCTGGCTATGATGAGGTAGTGGAGGCACCAAAGGCGTTGCTAGACATTTCATCCTTGCCGAAATCCACATCAAAGCTAAGCCAGACTGTGAGGAATGAGAGGGACGAAAACTTCAACAGGTCGGATGAGGAGCGTATGCATCTACGGAATGATCTCTCCAATTCTTCCAAGGAGATGTTGGGAATTGCACCGGGCAGTCCCATTCTCCCATCTGAGAAAAGAACACTCGCAAAGGATCTGATGATGAGGATGAGATTGGTGATGAAGTCACGGGGCCCATGGCTTTGGTGCCCCTAGGAGCGGATGATGATAAAGCCCGGAGCTGCGGCTGGTGGCATTCTGAGGAGGAGGAATTCGACTAGCAGGGAGTTCTTTCTTTCCATCGTACTTTGTTTTAAATTTGTTATGCATCGTGGACTATGCATTATTTAAGTGTGGGGTGGGTGAAATACTTCCTGACTTGTAACTGTATAAATTTTTTATTTATTGTTTTTTTTAGCTTAGTTTAGAACGCACATAGTCTAATTAGCTAGTAAAAAGGAAAAAAATCAGAAAGAGCTCGGACTTTTCCCGACGATGGATCTGTTGGACAATTTTCTTGAGGGATTAAAGTCCGATTAAGAATACCAAAAAGATTTTCTTTTGTTCTTATAGTTAGATAGTACCCTTTGGTTTTTCTCTGGGCGCCGGTTCTTTACCAAGGGTGTAGCTTGAACCGTGTGTTTTGTTTTTAGGAGTAGGATAGGAGAAAACTGAGGTGCTCTGAGGTACTTGTTGATATGTTTGGTGTTGGCACATTAAGCTATGGCATGCGCTCTGTCTTCCTGAATATTTGATTTGAATTGTAATGCCCAAGTAAATTAAGTAGCCTACTTTGTGACGCCTTTTTCTCAGTTGTTTGACTTGTATGCCACCTAGTGCATTATTGCTTAAAAATTCTCAACTCGCTATGCTTGCTTGACTTGAGAGTCGAACAAAACCTTTTTGATTGATTCATGTGCAATGTGTGTGTAAGGATTCGTGATATTCTGTGCTATCGTGTGTAGTCTAGAACTTGCCCCGTGTGTTAATCGAAGCGAAATCGTTAAGTTGTGCTAGTCTAGGAGATGATGTAGGCATTTCTTGCTTGATCATATAGGTGCTTGGCACTCACAAATAAAAATTTTCCGTTGCTAGCCCCTTTGAGCCTATAGACCTTTTCTTTGGCACCCACACTACAAGCAGTATCCCTATTTGTTCTTAATTTGAGATTGTTGAACCTTTACCTCCTAAGGCACTTAGTCGCTAAAAGAAGTAAGGTGAGAGATTGGGGAGTAGCTTTCGAGTGGAACCATGGAAGAGCCATTAAGGTGCACTAAAGTTGTGAAAAAAAAGGAGGTCACTAGCCGATGAACCTTAATGTATGGAGTGTGTGAAGAAAAAAAAAGAGGAAAAAAAACAAAAAACAAAACTGCAAGAAAGAGAAAAAGAATAGTTCAAATAATGTAGAAAAAGCCACACCTCCTAATCTTTCTAATTCGTCCTAGTGGAGATATAGAAGTGCTTAATTGAAAAGAGGGCTTTGTTAGATATGGTTTATGGCGAATGAATTGGTTGAGAAGAATATGTGCTCGATTTACGAGTGTAGTGTATTTAAGTGCTTAGGAGGGTTAGTCACTACTCCTAAATGTATCCTACTTGTCCCTAGCTTACATTACAATCGTAAAGTCCTAATTGATTCTAGATTTGGTTAGCTTAGATTAGTAGAGATGTACATTACGGGCAAGCTTATGGTACGACCACGGGATGCACATGAAATTTTTTGTGAGAGTAAGCGAATTTTATTCAATTGTGTGATGTCCTTAATTCATGTTCAGTGACATATTTGAACTTATGAGCTACTTCTATATTCATTCTTTTGCTTGTGGTGAGGGCACTTGGTCTCATGACGGATTGGTAATGTTGTAAACTTCTCTTGTTGGTGAGTGTGCAAGTTGAGGGTGCTTATTGGTAACAAGTCGACTCTTGAGGTAGGGTGATTGTGCATAGGTTGTTTGAGTTGGGTTGAATCGCATTGTGTATACTTGGGCTTGTTTACAACGGGAAGAATGTAAAATTCGCGTGTTCATGCTTGATCGCCAGTATCGACCATAGTCAAAAGGTAGAGTGTGATTGAATTAAATTTGAATTGCTCTTTCCTAGTGAGATGTACGTTTTGGGGTGTTGATATAGTTCCATTGCTCGAGGACAAGCAAGAGTCTAAGTGTGAGGTGTTGATATTCGGCTTAAAGTATGCATCATCTTTCTTTGACTCGTGTGTTGCCTTAGGAATCAACTCCCCCTCAGGTATAGGCTTATCCCTTCTTTTCTTTGGAACTTCTTCTAATTCCCTCCCGTTTCTGAGTGTGAATGCATTAACTTGAGGGTTCTTCTCTGTATCACTGGGAAGAGCGCCTGCATGCCTAGTATTTTGATTTGACGCTAACTGCCCCATTTGTCTCTCAAGATTTCTGAAATCGGTCCTGAATTGTTGATTGTCAAGCAACAACTTCTTCAACAAGTCACTTGTACTCTAATCTACTTGCTACTTGCTGGGGTGGCTTCTGAGGTTGGTTAAAATTTCCTTGGGGCCTATAATGATTCTGAATCGTCTGATTTCCACCCCAGGAGAAGTTGGGATGATTCTTCCAATTTGTGTTCCCATATCGTGCATGCTAATTTATCGGACTTCTGCTCTGTTGCCCTACATAGTAGATAGATTCAGGATTCCTGGGGCACATGTCACTCGTGTGACTGTCACCATATAATTCGCAGCAAGTAGACATCTATTGTACATGTTGCATATATTTTGTTTGGTGCATTGTCACTCTATTCTTCTGATTTGCCAATTTTGCTATATCTGCTCTCATGGCTGAGAAGTCATTAAGCTCAATTACACCGGTTGCTTTCTGTTTAAGTGCTCTTCGTGATTCCCCGTCTCCTTGCCAATTATTATCATTAGCAGTGAAATTATTCAGCAGGAGTTGGATTTCACTATACGGCCTTGCCATGCAACTTCCCCTACAAGCTGAGTCAAGATTCATCTTTGATGTCTCGTCTAACCCATCAACGAAAGTATGACTCAACACCTCATTAGTCTGACAGTGATGTGGGTAGTCTCTTAGTAGCTTCTTGTATCTTTCCCAAGCTTGACGAAGAGTCGCCATTTCGTTGTTGGAACCCAAGAATCTGGCTCCTCAGCGACTTTGGCTTCTTAGTGAGAAAAAACTTGAGGAAGGATTTTCTTGCTAGATCATTCCAAGTGTGGATCGAGTTCGTGGGCTCCTTTTGCAACCATTCTCTAGCTTCCCCCAGCAGTGAAAAGGGAAATAGTGTCAGCATGACGTAGTCCTTGGAAACGTTCGGATAATTGTACGTGTCCGTAATTTCCAGGAAGTTCTGAATGTGCCGCTACGGGTCTTCATGAGATAGACCCATATATTGCCCTATGGACTGAATCAGCTGTACCATGTACTGTTTGAGTTCAAAGTGACCCGTGATATCAGGCTTCACAAATAGCCTGAGTCATATTAGCAAGATTGGGCCTTGCGGCTTCTATCACCGAACGCTCTTCATTACCTGCCATCTTTAGTGGCTGTGGTTGAACTACGATGTCCAACTCTCTTTCTATTCTAGTATTAGCTTCGACTTCCCTCCTCACCCTGTGAAGTGTTCGTTCAATTTCAGGATCAAGAGGAAGGAAGTTGTTTGCCCTTCTACTCCTCCGCATTCAAGAGAAGAGCCTGCGTTAACACAAACAAGGCAAAATGAAAATTAAAACTTGAACAAATAACTAATAAAAGCTTAACTCAGACAAGTAGATAATTTCCAAGTCCCCTGCAACGGCGCCAAAAACTTGTTGCGACCAAATACGCACGCAAGTATACGTGGTCGTCAAGTAATAAAGTAGTGAGTAGAGTATCGTTCCCACAGAGACTTATGATTAACTTTTGACTGATTCAAACACAAACAACTTATCTATTCAAGAGATTTTTTCCAAAATGTGTAGGTAATTAATTGACAATCAAAGAAACTATCGAGCAGTTAACTAAACTAGAGATCAACTAACACACGGAGGCAATTTCGGATAAAATTCAGTAGGAGAGGACAGTTGATTTAAACTGACTTGTTGCGTTCTTGGCTTAAACTGACTAGTTGATTTATCTGGTTTGTTGATTGACAGGGTTGATATTAGTCGTAAGAATCTGTCGAATATCAGTGGTCCAGAAATGTCATCATACAAGGTTGTTTGCCAATAACCACTACGACAGAAATGCAGTTGATCGGAGTGGGAACATTTTGCCTGGTGAGTATTAGTCTCTGTATCTCTAGTGATTCTATACTAGCTTAGCTGCAAATGGATTCTAAAACCTTTTTATAATGTAATTGTGAAGGTACGGTTGTAGATTCAAAGATATGCCGCCCTACTGAATTTGATTTCTATCTCTGTAGCCATGCCGGCATACAGGTAATAAGATTGGTATTCTATAAACATATGATAGTCATGTACTAAGGACTCTGTTGTAAGTTACTGGATTTTGTGATACTGCAGGGTGCTAGCTGCCCAGTTCATGATCATGTTCTGTGGGATGACAACAATTTTACTGCTGATGCCCTGCAGTCTTTGACCAACAATCTCTGCTATACGTATGTTTACTTTTGAGCTGCCATAGTTGAAATTTTCCAGCATTCTAATTCTGGTGGTTTGATTGTTACTCATTATTTCAGATATGCTAGGTGTACTTGTTCTGTCTCCATTGGTATGTTCACTGCACTTGTTAGTGGCTTTTCTTCAGCATCTATTTTTATTTCCCAGTCTCAACCCCCCTCCCCCCTTATCCTTTTTTTGTTTGGAATTTCTCCACGTATAGCCTGTTCATTGTATCATGTTACTAACTTAAGTTCATTGATGCTGTTTGCAATTCCACCTGCCTATTATGCACATTTGGCAGCTTTCCGTGCTCGGTTTTACATGGAGCCAGAGCCATCTGACAGTGGACCAGTCACAAGGGCAGCTGCTTCAAACAGAGGAGGTGTGGGAGCTATGTGAAGGAGCACGCGAGCACCAGGTGCTGGTGCTGCTGTAATGCCTATTTTTTTTTTTTTTTGGTCCTTGCTTGTATATGCTCCTGCGCTCCCGGCTTAGGTGCCTATTGAAGACTGCAATTTTTGCAGAAAATAGTCAATACAGTTACTATTATGATAAGAGATGGGCAAGTGTCTGAGTAGACTTAGGGATTTCTTAGTCCCAAAGCAGCGAATATGTTAAAATGGAACGATCCAGCAACCCTGTTTCTGTGGATTCTTCCACGTACCTTTGGCTTGTTGATACATGTAGATCGTATTGCCGTCAGCACTGAATAACTTGTACACGAAACAGCTTCTGTTTTGAAGTCTTTCCCAGTCAATAGTCAATAGCACTGCCTCTATTATCAGATAGCATTAATAGGTTGAGATGGAGCTTAAATCGCAAGAGTAGCTGCCTTTTAGACGGTGTGGCCTAATCGTGTGTTTTGACTCTATTATGATACCTTCATCTGCTGCACTAAGAAATTGACTAGTGCGGTGAATTTTCTACATGAGGAAATTTCAACTGGAATGCCTTAGTATTATTGTGTTTGCACCAGATTAAGCATTATTATGTATTTATGTGGGGGGGTGGGTATTGGTCTCGTCTTGACATGAAGTTGAAACGAATTGCTAAAGATATCTGAAAATATAGTCCAAAATTTGAGTGTGTTAAAAAATTTGAAAAAAAGACTATGACCAGGTCTGCCTTAATTATGTGTAAGTATTGTGACAGGTTGACCAATCCATGATGAAAACACCAATAGATAGGAGTCCAAAGTCTTAAAACTAGCTAGCGCAGTCCAAACTCAAACTTACTTACAATAAATCGACAATGTATGTGTAAATATTTTGTAGGTCATTGCGCCCGAAGTCACGAAAGGGGCTCAGCAAGGTCGACGCCACATGAGGAAAGACAATTTATAATGTATTCACGTTAACTAGCTAATGTATAAAAAATGGTTGGCATTAGGAACATACATTCGTTCTTGTACAGACTGAAACAAAAGAAAAAAAGGAACAGGCCGGCATGTATTCACATAATGGCACGTTTATTGCAACAATTCAAAACTCAAATAATTTAACCCCTACCTAACCTAAAGTTTGACTTTACTTACTGTAATATATATAAGTGAAAATGTCACCGCAAATCACAAAAATATGTGCCCCACAATTGAAATTCGAAAATGGGATAGAGGGAAAGGATTAGAGCGTTTTCACAAGGGAAAATGATCTCAAAACTCAAATATTAAGCCTCTACGTCAAATTTCTATGTGAATAAGACCATTACAGCTCAACTTTTTCCTTACACTTGCTGGACTCAGCTGGAGGCTATGGCATGGTTTTCTTTCCAGAGTTAGTAATTTTCTGTATATGGAGATAGTTATTTTAATTTCACCATATTCCTCATGGATTATCAATTGATATTTTATAATAATACTAAGTTGTGATGTAGTGGCAATGATAATTTTGAGGATGCTAAATTAATTAAAAAGATTTAACAATTTCATAGAATTTCTATCTTTAAAATGCCTTGTGTTAACTTAGAAGGGGTATTTGATTTGAACGTTATATAAATTTTGTAAAAACCTTTTCTCGACAAGCACCCTCACAACCAACAAAATGAAAGTTGAATAAACAAATCAATAAAGACGAAATTGAATGTCAATTGCCATTTGGCAATGGCACCATGGTTTATAAGTGCTAAATCCAAATTTAACAACTTTGTGTAATAGAAACGCGGTTTCCAAGTAATGATTGCAATTTACGAATGCATAAATCAAAGTAAAAAAGAAGAGGATATTTTTTTCTTTGTTTTGGTGCTTTTAAGCAAACAATATGTGAATTTGATTGTGACATCTGCACATTCATGAAAGCTTCTGTTCTTTTACAAAATTACTTCACAGGGATCCATATAGGGAATATTTATTTTCTAAAAGTGAGTAGTATTATTTTTAGTTTTGATTGATTACATGCCTTTATTCACAATAATACAAGATGAACAAATGATATTATTGTATAATATTATTTAACGTACTAATTGATTTACCTTTTCATCCATCAATTTATTTGTCTATAGTACGATGAATGAAATAATGAAATTCTTATCCATCACTTGACCTAGATGATGACATTTTGTGCAAAATAATACTACTTGTAATTTGGTAAAAAACTATCACTCGACCTAGACGATACCTTGGAAACATGCAAATTTTGGGCGGGTTTTGAGGTCCAGTAACCCCAAGGCTAATGATGGAGAAAAAATATTAACAATGGCTGTTTTCTTTAGAATCTTGATTGTACGGGTAGGGATGGCAATAAGGTGGAGCGGGTGCGAGGCGAGGGGGGTTTGTTTGATGAGGGGCGGGGTGGGTTTAAATAGTTTTTAAAAAAATTAAAGCGGGACGAGGCGGGTTTAATGCAAGTTCTAGGTGGGTCGGCTTTGAATTATGATCCTTTCTGAAACAAAGTGATCATTTCAACTATAATTTTATTGACTATCAATTTAACTGTCGGTTAGAAAAGCATCTTGTTTTGTATCTTGTAATTATTTTGTTTTCATTAATCTTTTGGTAATTAAAAATGATTATGGTTACTATATTGGAATGTTCATATTCGAAATCGTGACAGTGAAATACATTATGAACTATTAAAAAGGATGGTTTATAAAGCTTCTAAGATTTGTTTTGTTTCAGCTTTATTTTGCTGATAGTAATTATATATTCATTATTAAGGAAGAACGCCAAACTAAAAAAGAATGTATTATGCATATACCAACTGACTGATTGGGTGATAAAATCTTGTCTCTTTTTTTCATGGACAGTGCATGATTAACTTTAACATTCGGAAAATTATGTTACTACTAATGAGATCAATTGGTAGAGCATGTAATTTCACGCTACGACAAAGAGAAAAAATATAATTGCTTCAATAATAATATTCTCTCTAGTTTTAAAAATAATAAAATGGCAAACCAGTTTGTTTTATAAAAAAATAAAAGAAAAAAGAAAAAAAAACTTAAGTGGTGCGAGGCGGGGCGGGTTGAAAACAAAAAAAATAACTATGCGGGGTGAGACAGGTTGAAATTTTTGTGGATTTTCCCAAACCCGCCCCGCCCCCGCCCTGCCCCGCCCCACTACCATCTCTATGTATGGGCAATTGATCGTTTGAACGTGGGTAATTTCAAGCAAATTTTTGAAGTACCGTAATTTTACTTGTTAATGATTCGAACTCCAACACTATTTATTGGAGTTGTTCCATATTTGAGTTGGGAATATTTTGGTTCAAATTTTTTTTTAGATTAAAAAATGGCCAAATGTTAATAGCTTTTAAAATAGTGAATAATATTTGATAGCAAATGTTGAAAGTGATTGTTAGCAAAATTTCCAAGAAAATACATGGGCATGCCCACTTAGGGGGAGAATTTAAAAAATAGCAATATTTACAAGTGATCATTCAAAAATAGCCACATTTTCAGAAGTAATCGAAATTTAGTCACTTTTCATGTAAGATAAATCTGAACGAAAAAACTGTCCAAAATTCGGAAAAATACTCCAGTATAATATGCTGGAGTTCCAGTATACTTATGCTGGAACTCCAGTATAATGTAGTGGAGTTCCAGTATAATATACCGGTCCAGCATAATATACTGGAGATTGGAGCACCGGCGCTCCAAACTCCAGTATATTATACTAAAACTTTTCGCATGTTGGAGTTCCAGCATAATATGCTGGAAGTTCATACACAGGTGCACCGATCTCCATTATATTATGTTGGAACTTTTCGTGTTGCAGCAAAATAGTGGCTATTTTTCAATGACTTTGCAAATGCTAGCTATTTTTGAATGAGTCCGAAAACTGGCCAGCCCGTGCTATTTTTACCCACTTAGGCGCGCCCCTAACTGGCCCCTTATTAAGGAGTTGTGAGCCGGACTGGTCCCCTTAAGAGCCCCTATCCAGGCCACGACTAGCCCCTCTCTCAAGCCCCTTATTAAGTAGTTGGTCTTGAAATTTTGACCTTTTGGACGGGTTATCTGACCAATGAGAAAAACTTGAATATGGGCAAAATTTTGGGGGAAGTGCACAGTTAGCCAGTAATAAAACATGTATTTACTTTTAAGCCATTGTTTAAAATGTCTTTAGTCTTTAGCCACTGCTTTTAATAAACTTTTACCCCCCCGAACAAAAATACCTTTCTTATAATTAACTGAAACCTACGCGGATTGCAGAGAACTTCGCTCAAATTAAGGACTAAGTGTCCTTAATTTTTGAACTTCCAACTCTAAGTTCAGGACCAAGTGTCCTTAACTTATGAGCTTGTTACTGTAAGTTCAGGACTAGTTGTCCTTGATTTATGAGCTTGTAAGTCTAAGTTTAGGACTACATGTCCTTAGTTTTTGAGCTTGTAACTCTAAGTTTAGGACTACCTCTCCTTAACTTTTGAACTTGTAACTCTAAGTTCAGGACTACATGTCCTTATATTTTGAACTTGGAACTCTAAGTTCAGGACTACCTGTCCTTAATTTCTGTGCTTGTAACTCTAAGTCAAGGACCAAGCGTCCTTAATTTTTAAAATTCCAACTCTAAGTTCAGAACCAAGTGTCCTTAACCTATGAGCTTGTTACTGTAAGTTCACGACTAACTGTCCTTAATTTATGAGCTTGTAAGTCTAAGTTAAGGACTACCTGTCCTTAGTTTTTGAGCTTGTAACTCTAAGTTTAGGACTACCTGTCCTCAACTTTTGAACTTGTAACTCTGAGTTCAGGACTACATGTCCTTATTTTTGAACTTGGAACTCTAAGTTCAGGACTACCTGTGAATTCAGTATAAATATTTAATACTTTTTGTATGTTTACAGAGTTGGATTTACTTTGTAGGATTTGTTGAACAGGTTCTTTAGAGATGTATACAAGCCAATTCCAAACAAGTACAACTTGGTATTAGCTATGTTGTGGGGTCACCCAGAGAATGTGGAACTTGAGAAGGTGAAAGTTGTTCACTACTGTGCGGCGGGGTCAAAGCCATGGAGGCACTGGCAAGGAAGAGAACATGGACAGAAAAGAGATTGAAGAAAGGGTAACACCGTCTTTTTATATTAATTTTAATATACTAGTGGCTACTTTTGCTCAGCATTAAAAATGCTGGATAAAAAGTAAATACCACTTTAAAAAGTGGCTACCCCACACAATTTTTACCAAAATTTTTAATTTTTACATTGAAGATTTGCCCATTGATTAGGTGACTTCCTCGAATGCCAAAACCTAAAGACCAGCCCTTATGGTGTGTAACAACAAATTTTCGCATCGAGAAAAATAAATAATCAAGACCGGAAAATTGCGTAACAAATATAGTATTTGATTTCAATAAATGAAAGTGTTACAATCTCTATGGTATTCCTCTGATTCTTCAAAAATGTAAAGTATCTTAATGAGCTTGACTTTGATTTGATTCAAGGGCTTGTAAAGCTTGATCTTAAATCTCCTGCTTGAACTTGAATTTGGGTTTGATCGCGA